CTATCTATCTATCTATCTATCTATCTATCTATCTATCTATCTATCTATCTATCTATCTATCTATCTATCCATCCATCCATCCATCCATCCATCCATCCATCCATCCATCCATCCATCCATGTCTCTCTCTCATCCCTCTGTCCACCCTTCCTCTCTCTCTCCTCTCAGTATTGATCATCTCTCTCTCCATCCACCCATTCTTCTACTTACACATATTTATGCGAAATACTGGAGCAACTTCATTACAATTCAGCTTCTCCAGGCAATCAGGGCCCCTCCCTTTCTCCTTGCATTGGAGCTTTTTCGCCTCTAGCCCCCCACTCCCCACTCTGTTTTAGGGCTTTAATACAGCTGGGAGAACTCTTTTCAGAAGCAGTTCCTGACATAATTAAACTATGGTGGCGTTGGGCTTAGGTAATGTTGGAGATGGATAAGTATCCTCTCTTATTGGATGATCTCGACTGACGCTGTATTATAAATCGTGGCTTTCTGGGGATTGGGAGTCTTAAATAAAAACGCGCCTCGTTCTACTGCAGAGGCCGCTCTGTTCGGGGTCAGGTGAGTCGTGAACCCGGATCCAGTTAAGAAAACAAAAGCAGGAGGGGGAATTTGGATTCGTCAGGCTGACTTGGCTCTGGAGTCAGCGGTGGAGATGATGACTAAGGCCATCACCTCCAGTTTCTCTTCTCCCTGATCTGGACTACACAGCCTGGGTTGAGTTCAGCCACGTTTTGGGGATGACTCACTCTTCGCTCCCTGCCGAGTTCCTAACAAGAGGCTGCAATTCTCACACGCCTGTTACACAGAGGCCGCACGGTTTTTCGCCCGCAGGAGGGTCCTGCCTCTCGACAAAGAGTCACCTCCTTCATCAACACCAACTCCCAAGACTTGAAAGATCTGAGCAGTTTTCCGTTTCATATCTTTTCTTATTTGCCACCCCAAACGTGAGTCACTAACTTGGGAATCTTGCACAGAATCCTGTCTCTCTTGTTGGTTCCCTACAACACCAGGAGAACTGGGTGGGTTGCAACAACTGGGTTTCCATACGCGGAAGGTATCTGCCTACACCTGGAAGGGCCCTTCTGCCTTCCGTGCAAGAACTGATGAAGAACAGAAAGATACCGTTGTATTTGGCGGTCACAAAGAGAATGGCGAAAGTCATCTGCTAACATTTGTTCAGAGTTCGGGGGAAGAGAGTTATTGCACTCTTTGGATTGGTGTATGTGTGTGTGTGTGTGTGTGTGTCACACAACACACAGCAGGTAAGGCTAAAATGTAGCTGAGCTGTGTTTTACAAATCCAGGTTGAAAGATTAGTGCAGTGTTTTCCAACTCGGCAACTTTAAGATGGGTGGACTTCAACTCCCAGAATTCCCCAGCCAGCATGGGAGTTGAAGTCCACCCATCT